GGCTTTTGTTTCTTGCCAGGCGAGGTTTAATCATGGGCATCTGGAATTCACACACATCTGTCGGAAACATCTTGGGTTCCTTGATTGCTGGCATCTGGGTTTCAAAAGCATGGGGGCTGTCCTTCATTGTACCTGGAATCATTATAGCCATGATGGGTGTCATCTGCTTCCTGTTCCTCATTGAATGTAAGTCTTGCATGAAGCATAACCTCTCCTTTTTTTTTTTTTTTTGCATGGTAGGAAATCAGATTTGCTTTGCTTGTTTGGAGATGGACAGTGACAGTGGCCTGCCATTGCAGGATTGTTGCTGAGGTCAGAAGATTTGTTGTAGTTTTTAAAATACTGGGTGCCCAGTGGGAAGTATTGCTCTCACTTGGATTAAGCTTTATCGTGCTTTGTGATATTGTCATGAAGCCCATTCAGAGTGATGCTAATATTCCCATTCAGAGCGATGTTAATATTCCTTGTCCTTACTCTGGCATCTTCTGAATAAAAGGTAACTTTTAATGCTAGCAGTCAGGATTCCCAAGGTGGTCTATTGTAACCAAGTTCCTCCCCACTCCCAAAGTGAAAAATATGTGGGATGGGGTTAAAAACCTTGATTTTTCCCCTCACCAGAGAATGGTCCTGAAAATTACTTTTTTTAGCCCAAATGTACACTTGTCTGTACTGCTAAGTATCTTACTTTGACCCAAGAGAAAAAAAAAATCCAGTTCAAATTAGTAAGTTGTCTGGCTAGCACTTTAGGGTTTTTGCTAGAGAAATGATGGGTAAACAATAGTTAATATAAATATGTGTAAATAACATATTGCATCAGGCCATATCAGTTTCTCAAATTGCAAAACAAAATTGGACAAAAATGTGACAGTTTAAAGAATAGCAATGGTCACATGTTGGATCATGCAAGCCATAACCGTCACAACATGAACACTGAGCAGCATTCTGATGATGTGCTAATGAGCTCAGCTCAATGAATGGGGCCCCTCTAATGTTCCTTTTTGCACGAGCCACTTTTATGTAGGTGGAGGTCACCACCTAGTGGCAGGTAACAAAATCAGCAAATCCAAGGGTAACTAGCATGATTCTTCACTGCTGTTTATTATTTATCATTCCTTTACCAACCATATGTACATCTACACCTATTTGCAGCTCCTAAATTAGAGTCTGTTGGGGAAATCACTAACCCTGAAGTTTTCACCTCCTTCAAAATGAAATATGTTTTTTGTCTCTCCATCTTTCAGATCCAGAAGATGTTGACTGCAGCCCACCTCTTCACCATGTAAGTTTTATTTGGGAATACATTCTGTTAAATGTAATGAAACTTAACTCTGGAATCCACACTTTGCAGAAGGTTTCTTATTTTTGCTTTGAAGCTCAATGCCTTTTGTTAGAGAAGGAAAACTGTGTTTCTTTTCTTTTTACTACGGACTAGCAGCTTGCCCAGTTTTGATTGTTTTGATTTACATTTTAACCTTTTGTGCGTGGCTTTGGGGACGTATCACCAAAAGCACTGATAGAAAAAAATTCAACTTTAAAGAGCAAGTGGAGTGATCGGTGCAAATTCAGAGTCTGTAAATTAGGAGTCAGCAACTCAGTTTCCATGATTTTGGACACTTAAAGGAAAACCATTAAAGGAAAATTTAGGATGGTGCCTTTCTTACTAATGAGAACTTCCTGGAAAGGAAGTCAGTCCTTGGGGACATTTAATGAGGGGGACTGTCTGGTTATAATTAGAATCACAGGGCTCTCTTTGAAGGAAAGCTTGACCACCAGGAGCACTGTGTCTCTTTCAGGAGCCCCAGATGGGCTGTATTGGCCTTTTGGGGTAGAAGCATTTGAGTCCATTTTTTTTTTTTACAGGAGACCAGTTCAGATGAGAAAGGTCTGGAGGCAGGACATTCCATCAGTGACGGAAGCCTGAATGTTTCTACCAACAGCCGAGAAAACATCATTGACATGGTGGAAAACCCCAAAGACTCTGGGGAGGATCGAGAAGCCATCAGCTTCATTGGTGCCCTCAAGATACCTGTGAGTACAGCCCTGCAGGCAGCCTTGACCAGTAAGCTGTAAAGACTGTTACAGACCAGAGGGGAGGTTAAAAAAGTGGATGTCCAACTTTCAGCAGTGGGGATGGCAGTCAAGACACCAGTTAGAATCCACGGTGACATCCAAGTGACATCAGTGTGTCATGACATCATCCTGAAAATGATGTAGTTAAATCATTTGCATGATGATGTCATGACCTGGGTGATATCATTTGTTCCCCCACCAACATCTATGGATGACAGTCTGATTTTGGTCTAAACAGAGTGTGGGGAAGGGCCATGCTTAGCCTTTCTCTCCACATACAGAGTCAGATTTCAATCACTCTCCTCTTCCTTGGAATTATTCTCAGCAGGCAACCAGTTTAAAAGGATCATGCCTGCATATTTCGCACGGTGGATTTAATAGCAACTGGATGTGTGTGATTTTGAGCCAAATGGGAAATTCACTTTCTTATGCTTAGCATTCTCTTTGGGGTTGATGGCCACTCAGAGGGGGGAGGGTTAAATGGGATGGAGGCACAAAGATCGGATCACTTCTCCTCTGCGGTTGTGCTCTGAACAAAATCAGAGCTGCTCTTAACAAAAATAAATGAATCAAAGAATTTCCTGCAAGACTAGTTTGGTTCTTTTCCATGTCTTGCTGTTCAAATTAAAATTCAAAACTCTCACAGCGGCATTTAAGGGCAGTAATACAGGAAATTGAGAAAATAGATAATTGATCTTCTGTCCTACATCTGATCTTGCTCTTTCTGTCTCCCAGCTGGTTTTGGATATTTTCTGATGATTAATCCCTCCCTCTTTCTCTCTCACCATTGCAGGGAGTGATCGAATTTTCCTTCTGCCTCTTATTTGCCAAACTAGTCAGCTACACCTTTCTCTATTGGTTGCCCCTCTATATCGTGAATGTAGGTGAGTTGGGAGAAAGTTACTTCTGATCCCCAAATTACAACAATTGTACAGGAAGTTTTGACCTATTTAAGCAAGTTTGATTCATGACATTTCCAAGGACTGTTTTGACACGTAGCTATCAAATTCCAGCAGTTGCATGCCAGCTAAATTTAGTGGCACAACTGCAGGAGGTTTAAAACTGTTGTGTCAACTCTAAATCAGGATTAACAGGTTAAAAAACAAAGAAAAAGACACAGGCTTTATCTCCTAACACTAAAAATTCCAGAATCCACCCACAAATGGCACTGGGTCTTGCTCATTCTACATCATCACTTTGCCTACTGCAGTCCTAACCCCTCCCTGTAAAAAGTTGAATGTGGCCCCTGGTCGGTGAAACATCACCCAACAAGTTGATAGAACATTGAATGAGAAAAGTAAACAGAAATCCAAGAATGTTTTGGTGCCATGTGGATCCTCATGTGCTGAAGGTTTCCAAGACAACTATTTTGGAACACACCAAGCTTCTTTAGATCAAACTAAGTTAGATTTATCCCTTACTATTGTCAAGGTTGATTCATCATGTCTCCTCAGATTACCAGCAGTGGTCTTCCCAATACTGTTAATTAAGATCCTTTTTTAAAACAAATTGGAAATTTGAGGGATTGGATTCTTCTGCATGTAATGAATTGTGGCTGTGCAGTGTTTCAGATCCAAAGAGAAAAAGGGGCTTTCGAGCAAAGAGTTGCACACATAGCACTTGTAAGACTTGGCTGCTTTAAGGATTTGCCAAGAGGTGCTCTTTGTGTCTCTGCATACTCCAAAACACCTTTTCTACTTTGAATCCTACGTACTGCACAGCCAAGCAAAGCATGTTCTCTGTCATTGGTCAATGACCATCACTCATTCATGTCTCCTCCTCTCCCTTTCTGTTGTTGCAGCTCGCTTAAGTGCAAAAGAAGCTGGAGATATGTCAACTTTGTTTGATGCTGGTGGCATTGTTGGTGTGTTGAATTAATTTTCATTGGTGCTTTCTTTGCATTTCTGCATCAAGAGTCTAGGAAAAGAGGTTGTGTTGGGGCTGTGAGTTGCTGATCTAAAGTAGGCGTGGGAAGGAAGTGATTTGCAATCTTTGGGTGGTTTCCTCAGTGATTTACAGATCACAAAGCATTTTTTGACTCCCAAGTAGCAATCATCAAACGCCTTCCCTGCATTTAAATTTAGGTTGCTGAAATGAAAATAGGGCTACCAGATTAGGGCTAGAAAAATGTGGATGAACACTAGATGGCAGCCAACAGTTACTCTTTTGGCTGGTGTGAGTCTTCCGGGCTGTGTGGCCGTGTTCTGGAAATTTTGTTTCCTAACGTTTCGCCAGCACCTGTGACCGGCA